TGTTACAGCCAAAAGAATGATTTTCAGCTGGTTTCTGTGCGAACCTAATGAGCGCTTTAAAATTATTACCTATGCACACTACTCCTAAGTGGGTTTTATGGTTCTTATTTTGTATTTATATTGCATATCAGCATGCAGTACTTGCTAAGCTTAAAAATAAAGGGAAGAAATAAGACTTGGCAAAAGCATATTTGTCAGTTTGTATGTCCACATCTTTCATCTTTTAATGGACTAGTTAATTTAAATCCATGAAAAAGCTTCTTACTGTTTTACATAAATTACTGGGAGTTGATGGTTACAGAGTCTGGTCCAGAAACTAGAATTATGTTACAGCCATTATCTAACAATTTGAAAACCAAAGAGATAAAATAAATAGCTCACAAATAAAATCTATGTAAGTTGTACAGCCTGTTAGACTGTTAAAATTGTAGTCAAGTTTTTGCACACCTGAGCTGTACTTGAACAAAGAATTTGGGTATGAAAATGAAACTTGGAAGGTTAAACATATAAAATCCCATTTACTTTTCTTGAGATTGTTTCTGATTTTTTTTTTTTTTCCTTCATGGAAAGTAATCTGTATACTCTGATACTTAGTAATCAAAAAGAAGCAAAAGAGATAGCTTATTGACAGTTACTGAAGATTTCAGTATATAATATGTTATTATTCTCTGTGAAAGTAAAAACACACTTCTTAATTTTTCCCACACAACTGCATGTTGGAAAAATGTTTTTCTCTAATATACTAATCTCAAGAAAATAATCATTTACACATTAGGAGGTGTGAAATCTGTTAACATTAAAAAAAAATATCTTGGTATTTAGAAGCAGTTTTGTAGCAATAAAATAAATAGGTTATTAAGCTTGTGTTCAATTCATGCTTCAAACATAACACAGCAAAATCACTCAGCCTAGAATCTTCTAATTCACATTGTATATAAAAATCAATCTATTCCTGAAACTACTGTATATGAAAAAATACTAGCAAAGTGGTTGTATAAAACAGAGTTCTTAGAATAAAATTCTTCCTTATTCAACTGTGTCTTATACATGGAACATAATTAATGTATGTGGCCTTTTAAACCAACCTATGTGGTTTATGACTCATACACCTATTTGACAACTGATGTGTTTTCAGTTGTGAGTCTGATAAGTGCTCCAAATTGGTTGGCTAAAAGACCAAACCAGCATGATTTCTATTTATTTTCCATATTAAAGTTAACCTAATACCTAACAGCAGAGAGAATCATATGTATAATAAAACATGCTTCTCAAAGACAGTGAGTGAACCTGTGAAAAGTAGTATGGCACAGTATTTTCTTCTTATTCACCAAAACAACCATCGAGTGTAAAAAACCACATGAGAGTTACTTACGACGCTGGGTAGCACCCCTGACACGGAAGATGCTCAAATACTACAATTTACTGATTCATTTCATGTAAAAGGCTCTGTATGCATAGCACCACATTTCAGTATTTTGCAAACATTTTGTCCCCTTCTTTTGGTGTGTTTTAGGACAGAAACAACAAAGAAAAGTACTCTAACATTTACCATTGTGGACTAACAGGTTGAAAAAACCCTGGAGTGTGGGCGCAGCCAACACAGAAATAAGAAGACCCTATTTGCAGAATTTTACTTGGCGCACAGAAAGCAACATAGGTGTATGCAGAACTAAGGGTGAGCAAAGAGGTGCACAAAGGGAATCTTTCTAAATTGTCGGTTCTGGACTAAATTGAAGCAGCACATGGTAATACGCTGACACTGGGTAGCTATGGAAAATTTGGAAGAATCTTGTTGGAAATAGCACCTGTAAGTGTCACTGAAATCTGTTTCCATAAGGAAGTTGAGCAAAGAACTAAGAAGCTAGAATGAGTGTGGAGACAGGGTGAAGAGAGAGAAGGGCTGCTTCAGATGTATTGCAATTAGCACTTCACTAGCTGGCTTTGGTGGTTTTTTTCCTTGGCTACTGGGTCTGTTTTTCCTGTAAAATTATGTAGTAGTGATAAAGAAAAAAGGTTGGTGGGAAATAGAAATCACTCCTTCCATTATTAAGAGCACCCCGTTCTCTGCTGAGGAGAGCACAGTGCCTGTGCTCTAGAAGCTAAACATCTATACTTATTTTTATGTATCTTTTGTTATTCAGTGGTTTTTAGCTGCTTTTGAACTGCTCCTGTAGAACACATGCAGGCATAGTTATTGCTATGAAGAATTGCGCTCTGAAGTCTTATTTAAAGGATGCATGAAGAGTTTGCACCACAGTCTGGAACATGTGTATCCAGAAACACTTTCACTGACACAATTCCAACATCCTACACATGGCAGTAAGGAGTAAAGGTACACAAATACTAGGGCTATACCAGTAAAATAAAAAAAGCAAGGGCACATGCCCAAGCATGGTCCCTCAGTTGTATGTACTGTTTAATTATGAGCATGATTCTAGCCATGATTTTAGCCAGTGCCAGCACTTTGCCCAGCCAGAGAACAGGCTTTCTGAGTTTACTACTATAAGTGAAACCCCATGGTTTGGCAGGCAAGACTGGAATATGAGCAAGCCTATGGCCTGTCAAATGGAATTTCTTCCTAAAAAGATTTTCAAAAGGAAGTCAACTGAAAATTCGTGGGTCCTTGGAATGTAGGACCTTGCTACTGCAATGGTCCTATCGGATAAATCTTTTCCCTAAACCTGACAAGACAGAACTTAGGTTTCTTTTTTGTTCCTGCCATTCCCACTGTATATTCCACAATATGACCATTAATGCAGCCCTTCTCAAGCTGTTCTCCCAAATACCCCTGCTTATAACCTTATCCTGTATTAGACAACATACAGCACCATGTTGCAGAAGCTCTGCTGTGATTCCGTAAGCCAGCTTCTGCTTTCCTCCGCTGCTCTCCAAGCCCTTCTTCTGATACTACTGATTGGGAAATACTGCTCCAGTAGTTAACTTCGTTGTGATTTCTACATTCTCGTTAGTTTTTGGACCAACATTAACCTTTGGCTTAAAATGCTCTTTTCCCTTCGTAGAACAGATGCACACATCTATCTGAGAGTTTTGAGCCTGATTTGAAAATGCCCTCCTCCCCCCTACATTTTCACCTATGTTAGCTGTTGGAGACTTCTGAGAGAGTTCCCTGACAGCTGCTGGAAAGCTGCATCATCTGAATGCCCTGATAAAGTGTGTATGACAGCCTGGTGCTAGGTAAAATGTGGAATGTTTTTAAAGATGCTAAACTGTGTCAAAAATGCTCTTGTTTGTTACTGTCACAAGATTCTCCTGAACTTTGGCTCTGTTTGTTGTTCTAGTTAGCGTTTAAAAATGGTTAGCAAATCTGGCCCATCCTTTTCTATGATTGTTAAAACCTATTCACACTCAGGTCCATTGGCACATGGAGGTGTCCTTGCCCATGGCAGGGGGCTTGGAGCTTGATGCTCTTAAGGTCCTTTCCAACCCTAACTATTCTATGATTCTATGATTCTAATAGTGCTGGGACAACATCAGGGCAGTGAGTTCACAGTTACCCTTCTATGGAGGAACAGAGAGAATGACAGAGGCAAGGCCAAGATTAGAGGGTTAGCTGCCATGACCGCTTCCTGGCCTTCAGCTTGCTGCTCATAGAGCTTCCAAAATCCTTGTCTTTTGCATCTGCAGTATCTCTGTGTGCAGATGCCTTGTGCATGCGCTTGCCAGGCCTAATTTGCAACTTGCCTGTTCATGCTAGTAGGTTTTGCATAGGCATCATCCTGGGCATGAAGAAAAGCACAGGCCACTGCATGCATGCATGCAAGTGGTCCTTTTAAAATCTGGCTTATTTAAAACAGACCTAATTTAACCATATGTCTTATACTTACAATAAGGAAAAGCTTTATCCAAGAGACAGATAAGTTCTACTCACTGTGCTAGCAACGGACCATGTCCCAGACAGAGTTAACTGAAGTTTGCCACAACAGCCAGTCTATCACAGGACTGAGAAACCTGCCAGGGGGATGGCCACATCTGGAAAAACTATATTGCTCAGCTCACTGCTGAGGATCTGCTTCTGCCAAGCATGCTGTGAATGAGGATATAATGCTGGCTCACTAGCTAGACAAGATAAAATAGAGATGAGGAAGAGAGAAGCCTAAGGGACTCTGACAGCAGTAAGCAAAGCTAGCTGCCTCACTTATCATCAGTTGTAACTGCAATCGTGTATATTTATGGTTTTATGGTAAGGGCTAACTCGTTGGACCAATATTTTCCCCCAAGTCATATCCAGGTAAATGAATGAAAGTCATGCTAGGGAACAGCTTTTATGGATTTAAAATATTTCATTTTCTCCAGTACAGTATTAAAAAAATAAAAACTTTTTAAAATACTGAAAATATATTTTAGTTAAGGTAAAAATACTAAATATAAAATTTTATAAAATAACTGTGCTATAAAGGCATGTGAATTGCTTAGTTATTTTGACATTCAATAATGGCACATTAACCCTAGCGGAGAAGCATGTGCCAGTATACCCACATGGTGGTTTAGGAGAGAAGCTCATGCATTTCTGCATAGAAAACAAATCTGCTTAATAAATGACATCTGAGGGATTTTGAGACAGTAAAATTCATGCACTCATAATGCATGGGTGGGTGTTGCAAGTAAGGCAGAGCAGTAGACAGCATTCAATTCTGCACAAATACATATCTGTGCTTATTACAGGTACAGGGTTCTCTGCTTCTGAATCGGCAATTTCTTTCTCTTTTCCTTTTTTGGCTGATGATCAGAAAAGGTTGAAGGTAAAAATCTGTATTGATTTTCGTTAGCTGTGCTCACGTCTTTGAGCTGCATATCAGAAAAACTGAATGAGATAAAGCGAATGTGCTTGCAGCTGTTTCCAGGGGGGAATGATGGGTTAGATCATGGGCTAGAATGTGCCTGGATTTCAACACAAGCTGACCATTTGGAAACCAAAAGAATCTTTAAGAACAGGACTCTAGAGGATTTTTAGTATGCACAATATATGCACAACACTTGTTTTTTGCAATATGCACACAAATGTAGCTAGATAGTAACTCATCTGTGTGTGAAAGAACCTAAGTTGAGACATGTATTATGATGACCATCATCACTGTTATTTTTATAGAGCAATGAAATGATAAAATAATCCAAGTTTTCAAGTGGGGAAGCACCTGCTCGTATGCTATGAATAAACAGTAGCTGGATGTATTAATGCACGTATCAGTTAACTGCAGTTGCAGAGATCTGGTATTTCAATGCCATTCTTTAAATATCACTGTAAGAGATCACATAATAATAGTTTAAAAAGTACCAAATCATGCTTCAGCAGCTAGAGAGAGAGATTGCATCATGTTTTGGCAGTGACTCGATCATCCTACTCCACACTGGCAGCATTTGATATTACAAGGATAAAATGGCAGCAAAACTGGTCAGCAGCTTCTCTTTGTCTGGAGTTTTCCCAGGTAGATAAACAAAACAAAAACAAAACAAACATAAAGCTGCAATGGGAGCAGGTCAAAGCACTGGCCCTTGCGTTGCTCTGATGAAAGTAAACTAGATTGATTTTCTTGGATAAGCATATCACAGTCCCCAAATAAACGATAAGTGCATAAAACCTCCAAATAATGATCTTCGCTAGAACAGCTACGTGGTTTGTATGGGACAGTGGCCTTGTCAGCTACGCATCTTGTTCATTAATGGTTCATCTTCAGTCAGCATTATGATGCATTCACCTCACTAGAGTTTTGGCTGGATGACATGTGAGAGTCCAGATTCTCCTTGCATTTCTCCAGACCATGGAAATATGGGTGAGAGAGGGCAACATAGGCAGATATTCTCTTGGTTGGGTTGAACGCTAAGCATTTCTGTAAATATGAAAAGAAGTTGGTTTTAACTAAAATGTACAGTTAACAGGGCTAACATTGCATATATACATTGATGCATGCCACCTTCAATTTATGATCAGTATGAGACACAACAGGGTCTCACTACAGGCTGTACATTAACATTACCATTCACATTAAAACAAGCAGTTGTGGCATAGTGTATGAATATGGAATCCCCAAAGCTAATAGAAAATAACAGGTTAGAAAATTCAAGTATTCACAGTTCTGGGAATTCCATAATTCAGGTTTTCTTGAATTCACGTGCACAGAACACCTGTCTCACAGGCTGCAGGGAGCAGCTATTCACTAACAACATTTGCATCCCTCAGTGTTCAGTGTACTGCTCTTTTGTGGTTATACAAACACAGATGGCATCGTAAGGTTCATTCCTCAGCTTAGTATGTCTATAGGCATTGGGTCTTTGACTTTGTAGCCTTTGTATGCTAATGTCTTGTGTTTAGTTTCTGCATCTTTTTCCTATGTGTACTTTGCTTGCTATCTTTCCAGAAACTTATCCCAGCCTCTGCCCAGCCAGCACTCAAATCTCTCCTTGTGTGGCCTTATGTTTTATACCTTCTCCTCCTCTTTTTCTTCATTCACCTCCAGATAGTATTTTCCCCACTATTCCCCACATCCTACTCCTATTTTATTTTCTTGTATCATAATTTCTGTCATTAACTTCTGAAATTTAATTCAGTGACTTCCAGTTCTACTCTCCCGTTTTTCTGTGGCTGGCTCCCACTTCTCATGTCTTTGCCTAACCCTTCCCACTTTACCTTCTACACATAGATACTTGTCTTTTTCCTTCCTCCCATCATGCCTCACACTCACTGAGTGCTCTGCCATATTTATTCCTTGTTGTTCTCAAAATCTAATTCTTGTCCCATGTCTAAGCTTCAATTTCCAGGCTGCAAGACCAACAGATGTGCTTCTCCTGTCATTTCAAGTGCCCAGATGTAGTCCAGCATTTGTTCCAGAGAACACAGCTGTTCAACAGCACAGCAAAAGGCAAACTGAGGCAAGGCCATTCCCTATATTCCATTGAAAGACTGAACTTCAGGGTTGGGGGTTGTAACATATCTATAAAAATGACAGAAACAATTTAATTGAATTCAGTGTTACCAGTTCTGCCAGCGCAATTTGTTTGCTTCTGCTCAATCCTGCCATTTGTAAGAGGCAACAGCTTCTGAATTCCAAATCTCAAGTTTTCAGCATTCACTAGAAGGCATGCAGCTGTAATCTACCTCTATGGCTTTATACTGGGTCCACTAAACCATGCAAAATGGCAGATCATTTTTTGCACTCAGGTCAATCTTATACTATGAGAATGGCTAAATCAGTGGCACAACTGTGCTCAGTAATGAGGATCTAAGCATAAGCTCTAAAGACAAGTCAAGCAGGCGCTTCCTTGACACACTTTTCTAGTCTCTAACTGTTCTCATCTCTAACATCTCTTGAGTGGTTTTGTGCTGATGTTTCACAGATTTACATGAGTTTGTCTACCTAATTTTGAGCTTTTCTTTAATAACATCATTAAAAGAAAACATAAATGTTTCTTGGCACGCTATTTTTCCCCAGAACTATATTCCCCAGTGCAATGGGAGCTATCAGCCAAGCGTCCTGGAGAACAACAAACAGCAACTCACAAGAAGCAAGTCTTTGCCCAGTTCATCAATATCTGGCACAAATTTTTCAATAGGTTGTGCGGGTCTGGAAGTGAAAGCATTTCTTGGAAGGGCAACGTCATTAGGCCAGTCTTCTTCTTCTGGGAGTCCAATTACACTGTGAAAGGAAAAACATAATGTCAGGTCTGAACATTCTATACCCTCTCCCCTTTATATTGATTATACTGAGTAGCAGTTTACTTTATAAGTCTTCTTGTTTAAATGAGATTGATTGTACAAGTAGTACACTGATCTCTGTGCACAGAGGCTGATTAAGTTCTCTGTGTGTTTAGTAGAAATCATTCTGTGGCCATCACAATTTTCTGGCCTACATCTCAATTTTCTGTGTCTTTTTGTTGAAAATGGGCTGAGTGCTTTGGAAGAAAGTTGCTCAGCTCTTGACTGGATGGTGCAACATATGTCGCTCCAGGATGATTAAAAGCAGTAAGTTTCAAAGGGGAATTGCATGCAAGGATCTTTATTCACAAGAATAGAGACTGAGAGAAGAGTGTGGGTCAAGATGAGGGTAAGGCAATAAAAGGGATGTTTCATAATGCTTCAAAGCTATGTGCAGTAATTGTTGCCCAAATTTAAACAATTTATTTGCTTCACAATACAGGTTTTAAAGCCTCAACTCTGAAGGGGCATAGGAATTGAGTGTCTTTATGTTTTTTTTTTTTACTTTGTATTTTAGTTTTTCCTTACCCTTTAAAAGAATATTTTAATTTATTTTTATCATTTCTTTATTCTTTAAATTTTAGAAGATATTTATACTTGTTAAATAATCATGCTAAGGTTTAAAAAACAAATCAATGAAATAATAGGTAAACCAATGATGGATCATGTCTCACAAATTTTGTGTTTTAGTCTGATGCTAATATTAGTGGTGTTGAAACAGCAGTTTCTCAAGGAAATTCTGGACAAGAGCATGCATTACTTGTCAGGTTTCAGGAAAAATCATTTTTTACAGCCTGTAAAATAGAGATTTTTAGTGGAAACACTGACAGAGTATAAGACACGAAGGAACACAAAAAATCACTGAATACTTGGGTCTGCGCTAAACCAAATGCCGCTAGGGAGCAGCATTGACCTTCTTCCAGGTGAGGTTGGTGGTGCGACTAGGCTATTTACATCAACATTTTGCTCTAATCATAGGGTTACCTCAGTGACCTTAGTGGAACTGCACATCTACCCACACGGATTTTAGACTGTAATTTCGCTCACCGAAAATGCCTCCAAAACCTAGTATGTTCTCAAAACAACAGTATGGCTAGAAGGGCAAAGCAATTAAAATGTCAGGACAATGTAATTTTCCCACACCTAAAGATACCACAGCTTTTGGGAAAAGATAAGTTAAATCTGTATGAAAAATTGAGTTCTTCTTTTATCATCACAGGTATAGTGAGGTATGGGGCAATTCCCTTGGCCATGGTGGTTACAGGTATGTAATTATCTATTTGAGGGCCTGGACCCGTATTAAATATAATGCAAAGAGCACTGTAGTACGATACAGGAGTTAAACATTTTAAATAAGAATGAAGTTTCACCTGTCATTCAAATGTGTTTGGTTAGTCCCAAATTTTTTAGCGTTTGCATGAGAGATCATAAACAGGGCAGAGTAAGCACAGGTAAAGCTAACAAAAAGAAACAAGGAGGCAGACTGTCAGACAGGTAGGGTGGACAAGACCAAGAGTGGAAAGCAGAGACATTTTCAGTTATACACTCATGTACTATTCAAAACTCTAATAATGAATGTCAGAGTAGGCACCCTCACTCTGGTTTGGCAGCACTACCATTTCAGTGACTAAAAATGGGAGCATCTTGGATGAGTTTCACCTCCTGCCAAAGGTTCAGGCCTGGTCTTGAGAAAAGCCAAGTACTTTCCACTCCCATTGATCACAATGGGAGACAAGTCTGCTCAAACGGTTTCAGCATTTAGCCTGAAATCGGTGAGGATATCCCACACTCTGATGGTGACCTGGAAAAGCAGGAAAAATGTTTTGGGCTGCCTCTGAGGGATTTACCCTTATGTACGGTGGAATTTTACCTGCTGCACATTGTAAGGCACTGGTAAAGCAAAGGTAGACCATAGCCCCCTTATCTGAAATAATGCAACAGTCCAGATTACACGAAAATCCCGAAACTACTTTCTGTCCAAATTAGTCTGCAGAATGAGTCACTACTGTAGAAAGAAACAACCCTCCTACAAAAAGAGCTATGCCTAACTGCAGGGGGTTCTCCAGCTGTGAAAACACAACATAAATACTATTTAACATAAGCCCCTCAGGATCCAAGAAAGAAACTTTTGAACTATTTAAGGAGAATTGCACAAAAGAAGGAAAAACAAACTTTAAGTAGATGTGTAATAAGGAATTTCTTCTAAAATTAGCACAGCATTTTCCTTTCTTGATGAATTCTTTTCTGCACAGGTAATCTCAGCCCCTAGGGATGGAAAGATCCCTGGTTGGAGGCTGCTGCTAGCATCTATGTATTTAATCCTAGTCCAGTTCATTTTGATTTTTCACCTTAAACATCATAAAAATCCTTCAAAAAATCACAGCTATGTCCTTTTTAATTGTAAACTATGTTGACGTATCAAAACTGTCTTCATTTAATAAAGAACATTGTGGGACTAAAGCAGTACCTTTGGCAGAAGAAGAATAAGTAAAATTTATGTACTCATTTTTCTGGATTGGGCAGGAAGAGCTATTCAGTGCATGACAAATTAACCACGCAAGTGAGTCACATACACTGGTATGGTATGCAGGAAAGGGAAGTCAACTGTGTGAAATCAAGACCTACAATTTGTGAACCTCATATTAAATAGTGAAAATGCTTAGAAACAGATCTGTTACAATTTGAGAACTGGAAAAATGGTTAACTGGAGGAATTCAGTATTTGTTCTGTTTAAGCACTTCTCCTTAGAAATTTTACTGTCTTCTCTTTGGAATATATTCCAAGAGAATAGTATTTCAGCCTTCTCTCTCTGGTACCTATTTCTTACTTCATCTCGATCCCTGAAGCCCCTCCATATGAAAGAGAAGACAGAGAGAGATACAGAGGCAAATCAGTATCCATCCTCTGGAGTGGGACCAGCCCTATGTGGCCTTCATTTCTTAAGTACATGATACATATATAAGATCTAAAATTTACATGGCTCTTCTAAACTCAGGAATGTTCCTTGCTCTGAAGACCTTTTAAAAGAAAAAGTGATATAATCTTACTTAATTATCTGTAAAATCAGTAACTTAATTTTTTTTTAACTAAGAACATATTTTGAATGAGAATTATTCTCCCTCAGAGAGTCTAGAGCCTCCCCACCTCCCAGGCTTTTGTATCTCTGACAAAGAAAAGCACAAACTCCTAGAACTGTAAAATGGTTTTAAAATAAAGCAAATTAGTTAATCTCTGACAAAGCACATGTTAAAATGCTGATATTCCTTCTGTTCTCACAGTTAACTTGACCAAAATATGGACTGTCAACAGTCTACACAGCATATTTTAAAAGCTAAAATATGTTCTGATGTACAGAAGTCTTTTATTCAAAGAAGCTGTTGGTAATAATCTTAGAGATTTCGGTTTAATAACAATTTTAAGTTCATAACAGTTTTAAGTTTTTAATGTTGTTTTCTGAAATACACAAAGAAATTAACGAAAAATAAAACCTTTGCATTTGTTTATGTGAAGACAATCTCTTGGATTAAATTGTTTAGGAATATGCATGAATGGTACACGCGCAATACGTTCAAGAGATTTAAAAAGTCCGAAAGAGAAGTCCCTCGTAACTTCCTGATAATGGCTGTTAATTCTGCAAAACTATATTCCATGTTGCTTCCTCCTCCCACTCTGACACAGAATACACGGAAATATCATGTTGCATACAGTAGCAATAGGAAATATGTTCTAGGAATACTTTGTTCTAGTCACATTATTGCATAAAAACATGGCAAAGGAACCTCACAAATTTTCAATGTTAAACAGATATTGACATAATGAAACTAGTTATTACTTACTCAAAGATTTTTCCTAGCTGATCAACATCTGAATTTCCACGGAAGAGTGGTCTGAAAAAATAAAAGAAATATTTTTAAGATGTGACTTGGTTTAAGTAACAATGGATTTATATTTGTCATTGACACCTGCCAGCATAGGATAAAACATGTTATTTTTTTGAGACCTCACTTCTTCTGTCTCCATGTTTTATCCAGTCTGTGAGAACACCTTCCAAGTTTCTACTGAAACTGATAATAAAACTGACAGATGAGACATAGTTTTAAATACACTACTTTTGAAAATTTGTGTCCTTTAACATGAATTTCTTTCAACTAATACTATCTTACGAATTACATCATTAACAGAATAATTTTCACTGCAAAGAACATACTCAACTGTTTAGAGAGACAAAAACAGAGTGAATGTCATGCAACTCATTAAAATATAATCAAATTAGAGATGAACTGTAATGGATATAAATTTAAAATTAAATTTCTTGTACCTGCATATAGGAAATGTGTTCCTAGGTTCAAAGGCTCAAATAAATGACAATGGATTTATGAAGGTCTGTAAAGAATGGGGTGTGAGACGGTACAGAATTTACCTTGAAGGAGAGGAATACTTCTGCTGCATAAATAAAGATATGTGCAGGAAAGAAATAAATTAATAGGCTGAATGTCCAAAGGCTTTCAGAAAAAACAGTGACTAAAAATATTTTCAGAGTGGTACACACTTCTTTTCAAAGTGCAAATTAAAATATTTTCACTCATCATTTATAAAGTACCCCATCGTGCCTAACTAAAATATGAAATTCAGATTTGTATGGCTGTATGGCCACCCTTGTGTTGAATTCAGTAAGGTGTAATCAACAGTGCAATTTTGTGTTTAAACTCCCAAGGCAGTCCAACAGATTACTAATGGATGAAGGATCCAGCCAAGAATGAGGCCATCTGTGAAGATCAGGCCGGAGGTGTTGCTTACCATTTGGATTCAACAAATGGTAGATTACTCCAGAAAACACTATTCAGATACACCAAAAACTGGATACTAATTTGGGTCGACTGATAGCCAGGCTGCCCGTCTCTTCTGGAGCACAGCTCGGAGTACAGGGCATGCTGTAAACTTCCCATTTCCAAAGCCATTCAACTGAGACCTAGTGACTTAATGCGTATTCCCATGTTTTCACTGTCAGCCTTTAGTTACGGGGAAACATTGGTTTTCCTGCCTCTCTCTGCCTACTCATTTTCTTCTGTCTGATACACATCCTTAACAGCAGTGATAGCCAAAGACATTTCACTGTTGCTGTTCAAAGGAGAAGACCTCTCCCATCTACACTGGGAGAACAAGAGGGACTCAGCTATAGTTCTTCCCCTCTCATTGCCCATATGCAGAAGCAGGTGTAGAATCTGAAATCCTTTTGCTAACCACAAGTTATTTCTGAAAAATCATGTTTTATATCTTGACACTCACACAGACAAGAGCCCCAATGTCACTGCCTATCTTGCGGATCCACACCAAATACAGGAAGTAGACCCAGAGCACCGTGACATTTCTCAGGTAAACATTATAATCTGCAGAAAGCGTGACACCAAGAAACACCTGGTCTAGTGGAAGATGTCCCTGCCCATGGCAGGTGGGTTACAACTAGATGATCTTTAAGGGTCTTTCCAACCCAAACCATTGTATGCTTCTATGATTCTAAAAAAAAGAGCAGAGCAATAACTAGAAGACATACTGACCATCTTTGACGGACTGAACATGCATTTTGTCTCCATGCTTACTGCCATTCAGGTCATGTCACACTGACTTACACTGCAAACTGCTTTGCGCAGGAACACTGAGAGAACAATTTCATCAAGTCCAATTTGAAACCATATGACATCAGACTGAAACGAACAGGGTTAAATGCAGTAGCCTCTTATCCATAAAGGGCTTTATTTATTTGAGTCTGAATAAATAATAAATAATGGTATACACTATACACTGCTTCCCAGATGTACACGATATTTACTGACTGCAGGTATTTGAAGGTATATAATGGAGGTACTTTTTTAAGCTTTAAAGTATTCAGTAATTCTGGCTTCTACAAAAACCCAGTGCTTCACTCAGACAGGAGCATCTATTGCTGCTGTAAGTTTTGAGCCCAATATTCAAAACAGTCAGCAGCTACAATCCTAGTATTGTTCATGGCAGCAGACACACTCCTTATCTTCCAAAGATGGACAATACAACAATTTAGACATTTTATTGTTTGAATGGCTACTTAAATTTATTAATATGAAGTTAATTTGTGTATTTAATTTTGGCTTTAATGTGGCTTTAGAATATTTAGGCCCTTTAAACTAACAAAATCTACACAATCAAATAATCCTATCCATGGAAATGGAAAGCTGATTTAATGTTTCAAAATGTTTGCTGAACCTTGCGTTAATGTGAAAGCTTGGCAAAGTCAGCCTTGTTTGCGAATCACCTTAGGCAGTGTCATGCCAAAACAAGTATAATTCTTGGGATTTTTAAGGGAGGTTTTTCCCATCATTGCTGCTGTCTCAGATTCACTGGGGGCTGAAGCAAGAATTTAAATTCTTTTGAATATGTAATTATACAACACAAGGTGACCTTCCAACATACTTTGATATTTCACCATAATGAAGTGTTATTAATTCATCTTTCAACCTCCTATCCATCCCACCATCATGACTACAACAGACTGCCAACTCCAGGTTAGGCACCACTAATGTAATGAAATTTGCCTCATGAATTTTGGCTGGAGGTTCAATTGGAATACTGGACGGATGATTGGGGAAGTAGATTCACTTAATCAGCAGCTGTATGAAGATCTCGTTTCACATTTTGGCACTAGTTACTCTTTAGCAGTGACTTGCCAGCACTGCAAGTCCAGTACACATAAAAACTTTCACCTCGAGCTGATTGGTTTTTTTTAAGTCTATTCTTAAAGGTGCACATCAGCTCTACCAGTACCACTGAACTGGGACCATACCCAGCAGTCACAGAAATGCAGAATTTCACCCCCTGAGGTTTATTTATTCAAACACAATCCAGAAGTCCTTGCTTGGGGATATGTTCTCTCTGTGATGATAATCTGTGTAAGACTGGTTGGACTCTGAGAGCTGATTTGTAGAATTCCTTCTTTTTTCCCTTGGGAAAGGCATGGAGCTGGGTTTGTCTCCTGTGGCAGAAGATGTGTGTCCTCTGACTTCAAACAACATCTAAAATCTGTGTAGTCGAGTGTCTCAGGAAAGAGGGATACTCCAATGGAGGAAAGGGCTATCAATCAGGACACACTTGCCTTTTGTGTGGTTCCTTGATCCTCTCAACCTTCCCTGACTTTACTTGCTACAGAATCCATGCTCTGAGGGTTCCAAACACCACTGCTGATACAAAATACACACTTGAGCAGGGAAGAAAATGGGATGAAAAGACTTACAGTGTACCCAATACATTTAATTTCCCTATTTGCTCAAGAAGTCTTAGTTCTATGATTCTCTGATTTTATGATTCTATGTTGCTGTGTCTCCATAACTTCCTATTTTTGTTGGTTGTTGCTTTTTTGATTTTTCAGGGAGAGAGGAGGAAAATCAGGTTACAGGTCAGTGGTGCCCAGTGACAGGACAAGAGGCAATGGGCACCAACAGAAGCACAGGATGTTCCCTATGAACATAAGAAAACACTTCTTTTACTGTGAGGGTGACTGAATACCAGTGTAGGTTGCCCATTGAGGTTGTGGAGCCTCCCACCTTGGAGATACTCAAAAGACATCTGGACATGATACTAGGCAACCAGTTCTAGATGGGCCTTCTTGAGCAGTTTGGGTTGGACCAGACGATCTCCAGAGGTCCCCTCCAACCTCAACTATTCTTTGATTCTGTGATAATACAGAAATAAAAATACAGTTCATGACATAAGGTTGCAACGCAAAACCTCACAAATCCTGAAAAAGTTACTATCTGCTTACAGTTTAGAAGGACTTCCACCGCTAATCTTCTGGCTGAAAAGCTCTCATGCCTTTATGTAGCTGAACAAATTAAATTTCACTATTTACCAACCTGAGGCTCTTTGCTCTTGTCCAAAGGAATATATTCAGCTCATGTTGTTTTCTGTGCGGAGTCTCACCTTCACTGAATATTATGTCTATCTGAACTGGATATTGGTGTCTGAAAGGTTGAGTGCTTTATTTTAGTACTTTATTACAGACACTGTGTTTCATGTCTGTGCTACTCAGTAATAACTAAGGTATAAACATTTCCTAAGCAAGTCTCCATGAAAAAATTCTCTCTGGTGCAACTCCACGGACATGCCAAAGCAATGCTAAAAGTATTGTATACAATGACAGTGCAATGACACCCAAGAGATAAATAAATGATGTTTACCTGTAAAGTGGTCACATTACTTCTAGGCTTTACTTTCAGCCTTTAGTCTACAAAGCAAAGAGTTTCTGTGACCTTTCGCAAGAAAAGTTAGCATTTTCATAGATTGGAATTAAAGACATTAATAAGCACTGTTCTGGTCTATGCTGCAGTGCAGATGCCAGGAAAAAAAACAGTCAAACCCATGTGCATTGAGACACAGGAAAAGATGTCTGCAGGTTTCCTGACAGTGACATTCTGAACCAATTAGTGACACTTTAGTCGGAAAGGTATCTTTCAATTTCTGAAATAAAGTTATTAAACTACATGTAAAATAGATACACGGAAGAAAAGTCGCGTGAAGAAAACCTTTAGTGAAGAGGGGGAAAAAAGTCTAGAAATTAATTTTCTAATCAAAACATATTACAGAGCCTCCATGACAATTCTTGAGTTGCCAATCCAAGTGTCTCCGAGGCTAGACAAGCCTTGTTTTCTTCCACATACGTAAAAAGTAACTATCAAAATATCTAGTTTCTGCTAGTCCGTTTGCTCAGTAGGATGACAACAGCAGTTGGGAATCCCATCTCCTTTCTTGTTATCACAGAAAAACCAGTAATGATAATCTCTTGATTACTAAATTGAATATATACAACATTCTCAGTGAAAAGTCTGTATTGGCAATCCACATGTACTCAGTGAAGTCATTC